CGTTTATCGTCGGCGTTGAATCCGCGCTAATAAACACGGACCCTTCATCCGGTGTGTACGGGCTTTACACTGCGACTTTGGCTAGAGCGCCGGGTGTCCGTCGGATCATCATTCGGTGTCTCATCTTTCTCTTTACCTGACTTGCCCATCGGCGGTTGGCCCAGCCTGCTGAACCACCTGAAGAACCTCCTGGCGGTGGTGGCCGCCGGCGGCCTGCATCCGTCCAATATAACCACGCCATTGTTATTATTATTGTTGTTATTGTTGGATCCCCCGCGATCCGGCGGCGCCGTCCTACTGTAGGGCGACATCCAGGCCGTCGTTGTACTCTGTATGGTGGCACCCTTGACGGTGGTGATGGAACTGGTAATCTTGGCCGGGTGGGGCACCCAGTCCTCCGAGGCGACCGGCATTTGTTTCGTCTTCTCGTCGTCGGACGAGTCGAAGACGAAGCCGCAGAATACGAAGGTCATTCAAAGGCTTGCGCACCGCGATGGGGAGGAGCCCGATGATATCGTCTCGTCGGCCCTGAGGAAGAGCCCGGACGACCGGCACACCTCGCGCACCCAAAGCGATTAGGCGCTTATCACCGGCACTTTAAGTAACGTCGCACGACGATCGGGCAATCGGAATAGAATCTCGTCGCGAATGCGGGAGACGTTGCTCTCGATGTCGATGTGCCCGATCGAGGAGAGATATCCCCAGCGACTTCCAAGAGAGATATACGCTCGCGTCGCGAATCGCTATCGCCGACTGACCACTCTCTCGACCTATTGTCTGCCCGTGGACCCTCGCGCTTTCCTTATCAGCGACTACGACGACGACCAAGAGTTATCGCTGCTGCGCGCGTCACCAGGTCTTACGTAAGGACGGACACTCTAATTGATTCAGGCGCTGCGTTCACCACGTGCTTCTCCCTTCAACTTGTTGCGCGCTCGAATCCGCTCTCGATGCTCCCGAATCGATCGGGACGACTCTTATCCGCTGGATAGATCCCTGATTCTCTTCCGGGGGCTTCAAGCGTCGTCGGTGTGAGTTCGTTAAGGTAATCGAAAATCGCCTCGCGATCTTCGTAAGTGTTATCGAACGCCGGCTAATGGCGTTCGGCTATTTGGTAAATTACAAGGTACTCCGTTTCCAGTGTTGCAGCCTTACTGAATAATACTAGACTCTCCTCATCGTCAGACTTCTCCCCGCGTCACGTCTCGTGCCGGACACTCGTCTACGCGTGACGTGATCACAACAACGACGATGACGACGACGATATTTTACCGCACGCTATACAGCACTCTCGACACTTCGAGGTCGAGGTTAGGTATATATCTCTCTCTCTTTTTCTATCTCCACCGGTCGTGCTCGGTCGGTCACGTAGCTCCCTCATTACTCGCGCATCGCCGCTCCGTGGAGGACTATCATCGCCGTGCACAGTTCATTCGCCCTGAACGCGCGGTCAGCAGACGACTGCAGAATGCCGACGAGTCCGACGACGACGGTTGCAATACGCCGCGAGCCCGTCTCTCGCTCTTTGCCGGAGAGGACGAAGGAGGACGAGAGATCGCCGGCACCTCGCCGTTCCCGATATTCCTCGAGAAACCGTCACGTCGCCCCCACGTCACGTCACTGGTATTACCGGACACTCGCGAAGCACGAATTTAACCCATCCTGAAGGGGAGCAAGGCGCAAGGAGCGGCACCGGTTGCGCAACCCGCGAGAAGGACGAGAGGACGTCGCGTCTTCCCCACTGAACGCTCGCTCGCTCGCACGAGCGGAAAGATCACCGCGACGACGTCCACGACGGGGATCACTCACTACTCGCTTCTCTCGGGGACTCGCGATAGACTCGCGTAGCTGTGCCGTGCTCCGACCGAGCGCCGCTTCTCTCGGCACTACTATAACGTACCACCTCGCCGCTCCGTCGTGCCTCTCTTCCACCACTTTGCCGTGCCGATCGCGTTGCCCGTGTGCGTGCCCAGGCTGCTGCTGCTGTTGCTGCTCCCCACTTACTTTCTTGCTCCGGCACGCACACCCGCGCGCGGTCGGCCACTTACCACTACCTCCGGCACGTACGCTACTACCACCTGCGACCGTCACGCACACTACGGAGCTCGCGTTCTCGAGACTGCGTAAAGGCCTTGTCGCGTGGTCGCGTCGGCGGACAGTCTGACACGTCACGCGTTTAAACGTTTATTTGCCACACGTATGTTTACAGATGCGTATAATTTAAGTAATATCGCCACGTGCTATTGACAAATTTACATCTATCCATTTATTCGTTTATCCGTTTGCACGAAAGAAAGGAAATGGTTAGGTCTCATTGCTTCTTTGTTTTTTATGGAAATTTCAGCAAGATAGAAAAATCATCTTACATGTATAACTTGTGAAAACATTTTGCAAATTCAATAAAAAAGAAAAGCAAAACCCATTTAAACGATTAAACGTTAAAACAGATCGAAGCGGCGAGTCGTTCGAATTCGAGTGACTTTTCATTCGAGTTCAATTGAAAAGTGAATCTGACGCAATCCAACGTCTCACAGGAACATATCCGCTCCAATCGATTGAAACATTCGCTCGTGCGGAGTCAGAATCCACTTTAACGTTGAGTGAAATAAACTTTACTTTTGCGATTTCGAATGGCGGTATTTTTACGCTTCGAGTAAACAGCGCCACTTTTCAATTGTTTTGAGCAAAGACCGATTCTAAGAAATGTAGAGAGTATTCTGGGTGACTTAGCGTTGTCAATACGAGATAAAGAGAGTTGCGGCAAAGGAGACGGCGAACGATTAATTAGTTCGATCGAGTGAGCGAGTTTGAATGTTCTAGGCGTAGTTGATTCTTGACCGAGCGCATTTATCGTCGACTTTGCCCTCGCGTCGTAATCTCGAGCGCTCGAATGCGGAGTGTGAAACGGCCTTTAATCATTTCTTTATCCTACCGCTGCTTCCCTGTCGCTCTCCCTACCAAGCCCCTATCCTCCTCCTTCTTTCTCTCGCTGCCTAAGCCGGTCTATCGTGAACACGCGGACGCACACTTACATACATACACAGCTAAGCGCGCCTATTATTCCCCCACCCACACCGCCGCGTACGTCTATACGTCGACGGCCGCAATGTCGGACTCGCCAGGTCGCCAGGTCGGCAGGTTGGCGCTCGTCGACCGTGGTCCCTTTTTCGTGGAGTCCCACGAACGAATCTTCGCACTTTCATAACACGAGGAAATATGAATTTTACAAATGAACGGAAAATATAACGACCAGTTGCGACGAAAAATAAAACATTCATCCCACTCTCGTTCACTTCCTCCGTGTCCTCGTTTACTTGTCGTAACTTCGTAAATTGATCCTCAGGGCCCATGAGAAGGCCGTCCCGACACTGGACGTTTCGCGAGACGGCGCGACAGACAATACTCGCGACGAGTGTCCGCCTTACGTCGGTACACGCGTGGTATTATGCGCGAAGCGTAGGCGATGCGCCGCGAATGCACACGCGTGTGTACGTGAGTGCATCGGCGAAGAGAGAAAAGAGAGAGAGAGAGAGACAGGGAGTGGGTCCACTGACACTGCTATCTCACCGTGACTGACAGAGAGCTGAGCTGCTCTCTCGCCGCGACGTAGAGTGTGTGTGTGTGTGTGTGTGTGTGTAAGTACGAGCGCACATGTCAGCGTGTGTGTGCACTGAGTCCGGTGCATCTCCACCTCGTGATGCACCTAAGGTGTTCCTCGTCGTACCTGCATACCGCGATCACGCGGTTCCGCCGCGCCACGTTTGAAAGTTCCTAAGCTCACTCGAGCCCAGCACGCAGACGTGTGTGATTCGATTCGCGAGAAATCATTTGAGATATTCGAGTATTTTGGAAATATCTGTGTATATATATATATATAAACTAAAAAGCAAGATTTGCGAACCGTCTGCGTCGATTTTGGTGAATCGAGATATGTGAAAATTCTTTAACGAAAAACCGATTGATCGTATTTTAAAATATCGCGTGAAGAACATATAGTATGCCTTTTTAAAGATTCTGAAATTATATCGAACTTTTGCGATTCTCTTTAATTCTCCAACGTTTCGATCCTCCCCGGGGTTTTATTCCGTCTTCACGCGGGCAACTTGCTCGAGGACAAAACCGAGTACGATAGTATAAAAGCCTCTCTATCGGCCCAGATGGAAATGCGATTTGTATTCAACGAGTTGGCATTATCGACCTTTATTACATCTTCGATATTTGCTATCCAATTTATGAGGTCCAATTTATCGGCGCCCTATGAGCGTGACGTCCACGCGCGTTGGTCGTGGTCCACGTTCGCAGAACCGGTCAATTGATTCGCTGATAAGTCTAAACAGCGATTTGACGTGTACGATCGATAGGTGATCGCTCGTGGAGCGTATGGCTGCTCGTTGCTAACCGGAATACGAGAGAAAACGCGGAATAGAGCAGCACGCGGAACGAGAAGCGGAAAAAGGGAGAGACCGAGATGGACAGGTAGATAATAGGACGGAATAGAACGGAATTTATTACATGCTTTGAAAATGAAAAGTTCTAAGAGAGAGAGAGAGAAAGAGAGAGAATGCTATAAAAAAGTCAAGACGCATAGAGAATTTTGCAATTTAAATAAGATCGCAAAAAGAATATATGAGAAAGAGAAAACATACGCGGCATCAAGATAAGAGCACAAAATAAAACCGTAAATTTCCAAAGTTAACAACGGCATTATATAAATCATATTCCAGCGAAATGTCTGCACATAGATGGAGAGATAAACAAGCCGATAGGGAGGGACAAGGAGGGGCAAACTTTCGATGATTCCATCGGTAATTTCTTTTTTCCTGCTATTGAGCAGACGGACTGAACATCACATTCGCGTTGAAAATGGAAAGTCGGGGCAATTATTATTCGGCCGAGCGGCGTAACAGAGTCCGTTCCAAAGGCGAAGTAAAAACAGAAAGCGTGTCCGCGCGCTACCGAACGAGCGAGCGAGCGAGCGAGCGAGCGCGCGTAGCGAAACTTCACGCCCGCATGTAGTGCTTTCCTGCAAACAAGACATGCTACAGGGATTTCGGATACGGACGCGCACTTAGCGTCGTGTTAAACCTCGCATTACCGTGAACGCGTACGAGCCACGACTACCGAGTGTCCCATTACGAATGAATGTCCACCAAACCGCGGAAACTTGAGGCGAAACTCGGAAAAAACTGTCACACGACTATTGTATTACCGTATGCGCGCACGCGGACTTTTTTTCTGGATTTCAGGCAGGATTCTCCCGTCGTGGTGTTCGTCCCGTGGACAAATTTGCATTTCCAATAAGTACCTCGACTGTACACACCGGGATATGTCCGGTATATTTCAGCACACTCGGTGCATTCAGCGGGACGCGGTGAAATCGAGCTTCGCAAAGCGATTCGGCGAAGGATAAGTATCTATTGTGCTGATCTCGCCCATCGACGACTTCCGGTAGCCGATGCAGATGCAATCGATAATACTAATGGCGCATTCAGCCCGAACGCTTTAACAGTATTCAGTACGCGGGGTAACGGACACCAATGATTAGAAACATTCTGAAACCAGTTCTCTCGAGGAATATCGAACTCGCAATGACGGGACATTCATCATAGCCGTCAAGCGTGATCCAACACGCGTTACTTGGGATTAACATAAATTACAGCTTCGTGGAGTCTCGTCGATTCCACCTGACCGAGCGATTTTGCTCATCATTCGAATAGCCGAATGAGAAATTCCAACGATTGGACTCCGCCCAATTTTCCCGACAATGATGAATTTTGGCGCAAACCCTTCGTGATCAAAAGGGTCTTCCGTTTCCGGACATTTCCTCCGGCCTCGAGAGTCGCTTGAGAAACGAGAGATTAAGAGAGCTGCCAGGAGGAGAGGAGGACAGGGGACAACAATGCCTAATTGAATGGCGTGTGCAGGGCGACCGAGGCTCACTGACAGGCCGAAAGCTCGATATTAGGAACGCACAATTTCCCAAATTGCCACGGATTAGAACGAATTTCACAGCCGTTAGCCCGGAAATTTTCCGTTCGTTCGCCCGCCCCCGCAAGATGTTAATTACGATAAACCGATTACGCGCACGTACGTGCACGCGCGTATAACTAGTAGCGTTGATTAGTAGCGGCGCAAGTAGGTAATGGTGTAATCAGAACGGGCCCCGGGGGCGCTGTCGACCTATCTTCACCTATTATCGGCGTCCTGATAAGTTAATCGTTAGGAAACAGAAATCGGCTGGTCTGAGGTGGAAGCTTTTAATTATTTGTGATCGATTTCCGATCAATTCTGACGACCACGTCCACGTCACGGAACCGCGTGAACTGATGTTCTCGGTTGCTCGAAATCGCAACACGTAAGATCGAATCGGTAAACAGCGGAAAGACCGGAGCAAATTCCCCGAGCGTTTGTGCATTTATTGCCGGAGAAACGGCGTTTAGGAGGTCCAAATTTCAGTAATTCAGAAGCTGGATAAAAAATTATTCCATTTTGGGTGAGTGGTGGTAAAATAAAATGTATAGGAACATAATTTTGCATGATAAATACTGAATTGATGAGTGCTCCGCTCGATGCTGCACTGAAGATACGGCAGCAATGAGCAATACGTTCTTAAGTAACGTGCTAATTTTTCACGTGTTAGTTGTTATCGGCTCGAGATCGAATGCCGTTTCATGCTTCATTGGCGTCCACGCGCGATACCGTCGCGACATCGGCCGAGTCGTCGGAAAATCAACGAAAAACATCGACGTCCTTCATCACGACGCACCTGCAAGTCGCTGCACCAAAAAGGGTTTCCAAGAGCGGGGACAATGTACCCGGTGTCTCTCTCACAGTATCCGCCGCCGCGTCTGGGTAAACGAAAGCGGAAATTTATCAGCGACTCTTCCGCGCCACGTGTAGACAACGACCTCGGTCCACAGTATTATCTCGTGCATTAAAGCGTAAACGTAAGACGAACGCGAGCTGTTACACTCGCCCCTTCATGATACATGAGGCGTTCCAAAAACGCCACGATATGAGTAGATAAGCGGCGAATGTATTCTCCGATTAATCTGACGTAAATTTGTTCTGGTAATCGCGGTAGAAAAAAGGGGGCTCGCTCTCGCGCGGATTTGGAAAATTCGACGGTATTCCCGAAAAGAAGGGAGAATAAAAAGGCCGCTCACTATGATTCCAATATAAAAGTTGAACGTAAGTTGAACGAACCGAGCGTTCGTGATGAAAATTGAAGAGCGTGAGCGTCAGTGAGAACACACAGACGCGGCCGAGTGTTATTCAGTGAGAATATCGGTGCGAATCGCGGAATGCAAATCGCAAATATCGCTTCTTGTAATGATATGCACGCCATTGGCATAATTTAACCGTTAATACGCCGCCCAGCACTGCCGTCGTCGCTGCATTCGCGCGCGAGTAATTATATGTTAATACAATGTAAATGCGCATCTAATGTTAAACGTCATCCCAAATACAGTCGATTGCCGGCAACTAAATCAGCAAGTTGAAGAGGAGTGGTACGAGTTTTGCTGAAATTCGTGCGAATTCCGGAATAAACCCAATTTAATTCCCATATTATTTTAATAATTTTCATTACTGTTAAATATTACTGTCATATTTTTAAATAACTTTGTGCCGCTTTACTGATTTTACATAGTGCACATATTGTGCAGACCTGTACTCATTGTCTGTAGAAGACTGAGTGGCTCGTCAAATTTGTCAGCATTGGACACGCAAATCTTGTGCAGGATTTGACATGAGGGAAAAAAGAAAATAGTAAGAGTTATTATTTGTGATTTATATGTCAATGTTGACAGAAATCATCTCGTCTTCAACTATTTCATCTTATTCTCAACGTTATCCCATCTTATCCCGAATAGTGGGTTAAGATAAAGTCAGAGTTTTTGAAGAAAAAGGTTTTTCTTCGATTTTACATTTCTTTTGATCTCAGTTTGGCTATACACGTCAAAGTATAATTAACGTTAATTATAACAAAGTTTTAATGAATATCTCAATTATACGATTATTTCGTTTACTAGTTCTTATTTCAGCGCCCCCATCTTACCCCGAGTTGTCCTACTCGCATACGGTTTTCAGCCCGTCCGTCCGCTCTTCTAACGCGCACTCGAGACGCATTATCGAGAGGGAGAGAAACGTTTCGACACATTCGACAAATCGTAAAAACATTTACTCACGGTTCGGCCCCACCTCGCCATCAAGCGAGTCATGCAACGCATGGCCGCAGCATTATTACCCGCGTAAAAGTCCGTACGCGATAAAGAGTCGATATATTTTTCCGCGGCATTGCCGAGCCCGGCGGTATTATCCGCGCTCATAAAAAATGCATATTAAAAAGGCCAAAAGGTGAATAAAGAATGAGACCGGCCTCGTGCGCGTGACGTCGCGCTTTCCGAGAAGGTCTTATCCTCGACGACGCCGCGACACGAATTTCTTTCTGGGCATGCACACGAGATAACAGAGCCGCGTATATGCACACACGCGCGCCAATCGGAACAGGATGCGGCTCGTGCCGGTTGTCGACCGGCGAAAGGATGTTCACAATGCGTGCGAACGGAACGTTAATAATAACGCATTGTGTGCTCGCTCGCGCGCGCGGATTAGCCGCCACTGGTTACGCGGATTACGCGAGCGAGCAGTGCGCTCGAAAACGGAGACGCCAGTTTTTTTATCTACCTTATCCCTCTTCGACACACTACACTCGACGCTCTGGAGATATTTTTTGTCCGAAGAAAGATATCGAAGGCTCCGATGGTAAATTAGCAGCAAAAATGACAAGCTGAAAAAGACTGTCGATGTTGGGCGAAATAATTTAAATCTTAACGAGAGAATAAAATTGTTCGACACTGCACAGTAAAAAAATTTTGTATTAAATTTAACAAATTTTACACGCCACAAACGGTCTACACAAATTTTTGTGTTAATTTAATACAAGAAAGATAAATATGTGGAAAAATCGCAAATATTATGTCAAAAATGAACACAAAATTAATGCGTTAATCGATACTGAAGTAAATATATTATTTTTACACTTACACACGTTGAATTTCGACAAAATATTGCGATGACAAACGCAATATTTTAAATTAACACACGAGTATGTTAAAAATTAAAAAGAGCCGATTTTAAAACAAATATAAAATGTTTTTTACCATCTGCAACGTGCATGCCGGATTTATTTTCCCCATTTTTGTTTTTCAAGTATCTCTATTTCCGTGAAAGTTTTCCGAAAATGGCCAGTGGTGTACTTCACATGATCGAATTTCAAGCGTGGAAACTTTCCTCGCGACCATCGACAGGGTCACGAGAAAAATACGACTTGAAAAAACAAAATAATAAATATGTAAGCGGAGACGATTGTGTGGTCGGGTGGAAAATGGAACTCGCCGCAGATTATGTAAAACTGGGCTGTTTTCGCGAGTTCAAGTATGCACGGGTAAATTGCGTTTATATTGCGTGTTTGAAAATAATAACGTGAAAAGAAGAGCGTCCGAGCGCGCGCCGAAGTGCGATCTCATGCGAATGACTGACTACTTCAGCTGGAAGCGAAGTCTGGTCGCAATAAAATTCATAATATCGCCGCATCCGACCTGCGAGATATCCGGCGCGGTCGCCATAAAGATACACGCAGATACGATCGTGTCAAGTCGTCGTGCACATACATACAATGGGACACGCTGCGTAATATGTTAATTGGTCGACCCTGTACCGTCGTGGTCGCATTGGTAAACAGGCTCTGGAAAAACGCGCATATGCGCGTTATTAGTTGCTCGGGTCGGGCAAACAGTGCTAAGTCAAACGTTTACCTGTACGTTCAGACGTTCTATTCCCCGCTTTTACGAAGAGCCTAGCGGAATTTATGTGGGTCGGTGAAAACGGTGGTTCGGGTCGATCCTCGACGTCCTCTTTGACGGTAAGCCAGACGATAAAAATCTTCGACAATAAAAAATGTACGAATGCCGCCGGAACGCGTCGTAGAAAAGGATCATAAACGACGACGACGATCACTCG